AGGCCCCGCCCCTTGCCCCGCCTCTTCCTGTCCCACTTCCTCCCTCCACAAAGCCCCTCCCACCCTGGCTCCGCCCCCAGTGCTCCCCACCCACCCCCAAACTGCCCCATCTGATCGCTGGGTGGCTGGTGGGTGCTTGCTATTTTTTTCCGTGGCTGCTTCTCCATGGAGTCAGCAGGGAGAAGAGGAGATGACCTAGAAGGTCTCTTCTCTCTCAACTGTCCATGACGCTTTGCGTAAGGAAAGCCACGTGCTTTGCATGGAGGTCTGTGGCGAACATGGCGGGGAGCGGGTTCCTTGTGGGTGCCCCCACACTGGCTCCGGGGCACCAAACGCCGGAGGCAGGTTTGATACGACTGGGTAGAGACAAAGCCGCACGGGCAGGACATGAGCCGAATGCATCGTTTTTGCCGCGGTCGCCGCATCCAGCGAGCACTTACGCTTCCTCTCTCGCCCAGGGTGCTTGCTGGAGTTCTTGAAGACGGAGGATGGAAGCCAGCTGTCTCTCCCGAAGCTCATTGACATGTCAGCCCAGGTCTGTGGACAGAGACGCCAGGATGAGTGTTGGAAAGACGGTGCAGTGTTATTCCGGGATGTTTGCAGACCCAGTAGGGGGTGAGGGGCATAAGAAGCAAGGGAAGGCATTTCCTTCCCAAGCTGCCAGGCATGGCCCCTCTCACACTCCTCCACCCGCAGCCTGCCAGGAGCTGGGCTGAAGCAGGAGGCATTTTGGGGATGGTGTGTTGCTGCCCCCAAGTTTCAGCCATGCTGAGGCTGAGGCTGTGCGACATCCCTGTGCTCCAGGATAGGGCGGCTGGGACCACATGCCATCCCCCTTCCCATGGTGCTCAAGGGTTGGGGAGACTGGGGCTGTGTACTGTGCGCCCTCCCCATGGTGCTCTGGGGCTAGGGAGGTTCCCATGGGGGACTGAAGGCTTGCCTCTGCAGTGGGGAGGAGCTTGGCTCCCATGGGGGGCAGGGCCTTATGCAGAAAGGGCGGGGCTCACCCCCCCGCCCATGATAGGGAGAGGGTAGGGAGCGGGTTTAGAGAAGAGCAAGAAAGTGGTGAAAAGATTAGAAAATATTCCTTGTCATGATGAACTCAAGGAGTTCACTAGCTGGTCCAAGAGAAGGTGGATCACTGTTCATATTTATCTGGGGCACGGAAATTGGACAGTAAGGGTACATCTACACTAGCTCGTTAGTTTGAGCTAGGTAGGCAAATGAGGGCAACCGGAGTTGCAAATGAAGCCCGGGATTTAAATATCCCGGGCTTCATTTGCATGTTCCCGGCTGCCGCCATTTTTAAATCCCCCTTAGTCCGAAATCCATGCCCACAGCTACACACGGCACGGAGTAGGTAGTTCGAATTAGAATCTCTAATTCGAACTACCGTTACTCCTCGTTCCACGTTCCACAAGGAGTAATGGTAGTTCGAATTAGGATCTCTAATTCGAACTACCTACTCCGCGCCGTGTGTAGCCACGGGCACGGAGTTCGGACTAAGGGGGATTTAAAAATGGCGGTGCCCGGGAACATGCAAATGAAGCCCGGGATATTTAAATCCCGGGCTTTATTTGCAACTCCGGTTGCCCTCATTTGCCTACCTAGCTCGAACTAACGAGCTAGTGTAGACATACCCTAAGAGCTCTTCAATCTATCAAATAAGGGTTTAACAACAGCGTGGAAGTGAAAGCTAGACAAATTCCGACTAGCAAAAACAGGCATTGGTTTGCCATTGAAAGTAACTAGCTACTGGAGGAATGTCCTTAGGGCTGGAGGGGGGGGAAGGGTGGATTCTCCATGGCTGGTCATTTTTCAATCAAAATTGACTATTTTCTAAAAGCCTTGTAACAGCGACTGGCCTCGAAGCGGGTATTAAGTCCTCTGGCCAGTGCTGTGCGGGGCATCAGACCAGATGGCGCCTGCTTTGGGATCTATTTGTCTCTGTGCTTTGAAAAGGGAGGGGTGCATGCCTGAAGGGCAGCAGAGATCACAAAACACTGAGCACAGCCACCAGGGCAGGCAGTGTGGGATACTGTCAAAAGCCAGTTCTCTCAGCAAACCAACTGCAGAGTCCACACATGCTCTTTTTTGGCAATAAAGGGAGGGGGAAAGACAAAAGTCTCTCACGGAGGTGGAAGAGGTGTAGTGCGTACACACTCTCACTGTTTTGTCACCACAAGCTACAATGTGAGCCAACAGTGTGACACTGTTGCAAAAAAAGCAAACCTGATTCTGGGATGCATTAACAGGAGTGTTGTGAGCAAGTCGTGAGAAATCATTCTTCCGCTATGCTCTGCTCTATACTGATTAGGCCTCAGTTTGGAGTGTTATGCCCAGTTCTGGGCACCATATTTCAAGAAAGATGTGGAGAAATTGGAGAAGATCCAGAGAAGAGCAACAAACATGATGGAAGGTCTAGAGAACATGAGTTAGGAGGGAAGGCTGAAAGAATTGGGCTTGTTTAGTTTGGAAAGGAAGAGACTAAGGGTATGTCTACACTAGCCCCCTAGATCCATCTAGGGAGGCTAATGAGGGCGACCGGAATTGCAAATCAAGCCCGGGATTTAAATATCCCACACTTGATTTGCATGTTCCCGGCCAGTCGCCATTTTAGAAATTGTCTAGCCCAAAGTAACTGCCCGCGTCTACACGAGGCAATGAAACGGGAATCCAATTTAAACCCCTAAATCGAATTAGGTGGTATTCCTCCTGCAATGAGGTTTACTACCTAATTCGATTTAGGGGCTTTAAATCGGAATCCTGTTTCACTGCTGCGTGTAGACGCGGGCAGTTACTTCAGGCTAGTCAATTTCTAAAATGGCGACTGGCCGGGAACATGCAAATCAAGCGTGGGATATTTAAATCCTGGGCTTGATTTGCTATTCCGGTCGCCCTCATTAGCCTCCCTAGATCGATCTAGGGGGCTAGTGTAGACGTACCCTAAGAGGGGACATGCTAGCAGCTTTCAGGTATCTAAAAGGGTGTCTCAAGGAGGAGGGAGACAAATTGTTCTCCTTGCCTTTTGAGGACAGGACAAGAAGCAATGGGCTTAAACTGCAGCAGAGGGTGGACATTATCAGGGATCAGCACTTAGTGTAATCTACTGGC